GGTTCAGGCACAGGGCAGAGTGGCTGATGCAAAAGGCCTCTGGGGCTGATGGAAAGATTCCCACTGGCTGCAATGGGGTTTGGGTCAGCGTGAGGAGCCCGGACAGTAGAACACTGGTGTCCTAGCATCACACATGGCCAATCTGGATTCTTCCCTCTCCAGATATTGACGAATGTTCCCGAGACCCATCGCCCTGCGGTCCCTACTCCATCTGCACCAACACACTGGGCAGTTACACCTGCAGGTGCCGGTCAGGTTACCTCCCGCCCAGCCAGCCTGGCGCCCCCTTCAGCTGCACAGGTAAGTGTCTGCGTCAGGTGCGGGGAAGCTCTGGGTGTAAGAGGCTAATGCTGGATCTCCACTGGCTCCCATGCAGGAGCAGCTCTCCCTGCCCCTCCCCCTCCCCCCCATCCTTTCCTACTTTGTCCTGAGCCCCAGGTGCTACGGCTTCAGCAATTTCTAAAGGGTCCTTTCCCTCCCAGCCTGACTAGTTAGAGGATCCGCTGCCACGCAGCTCACTTCCTCCAGCCCTCTGCTCACTGAACCGCACAGCCCCTGTGTCCACACACACCCCCACCTTGCCATGGACCTGGGGAGAGAACTAGATTGTCTCCCTGCTCATGTGGGGAAACTGAGCCTTCTCGAAGGGAAAGGACTTGGGAAAGGTCATGTGGGTAGTCTGTGGCAGAGCGGGAGACAGAAGTCAGAAGTCTTGGCTCCCCAGTCTCCCTGCCAGCCCGTATTCCTTCTCCCTTTTCCTGCCTCCCGCGAGCCATGGTTCCGTCTCCCTCGACCTTCCCCCTGTCAGCCCAGGCTCTTTTTCTCCCCTAACCGCTCCCTCACCCTCATCTCCAAGCAACAGTAGACACCAGACAGTGTGAGTTGTCTGGGGCAGTAGGACACTGCTGTCAACCTATAGTCTCTCACCTAGATATTGACGAATGTTCCCGAAACCCATCGCCCTGCGGCTCCAACTCCATCTGCAGCAACACGCTGGGCAGTTACACCTGCAAGTGCCAGGCAGGCTACCTCCCACCCAGCAAGTCCGGCATCCCCTTCAGCTGCACAGGTAAGCATCTTATTCGGGGGACGTGTGTAGGGCTCTGGGTATGAAAGGCTAATGCCTGCTGACCAACTCACCCCACAGTGAAGAGCTAGGCAAGGAGTGGCTCTGCAGGAAGAGCTACGGGATCAGCTGCCATGTAGCTCTCCTGCCCTCTGCTCGCGAAACCCCACAGTCCCTTTGGCCCGGGAGACTCTCATCCTCTGGTGGAGCCTCATTCTCTGCCTTAGAGTCAGAGCATGGACTGGACTGGTGTCATTAGACTGAACTCCGTGGCCAGCGGACGGCACAGCAGCCCTCTTCTTATATGTAACACACTGTGGGTGGGAGTCAAAGCAGGGAACTTCGGGCCCGGCCTTGTGACCGTTGTGACGTGGTTTACATGAACCATTTTGGAGCCCCTGTGTCCACACACACCCCCACCTTGCCATGGACCTGGGGAGGTTGGGAAATTGAACCCAGTGTGAATTGTCTGGGGCAGTAAGACACTGATGTCAACCTATATTCTCTCACCTAGATATTGATGAATGTTCCCGAAACCCGTTGCCCTGCGGCTCCAACTCAATCTGCAGCAACACGCTGGGCAGTTACACCTGCACGTGCCAGGCAGGCTACCTCCCACTCAGGAAGTCTGGCACCCCCTTCAGCTGTACAGGTAAGTGTCTGCATAGGGTGCAGGGAAGCTCTGGGTGTAAGAGGCTGTTGAAGCAAAAACTTCTCTATGGTTTGGCAGGTAATAAACAGTTTTATTGATCAGTAAGACAAAGTGAGCCAAACATGACCGCAGCAGAACCGGGCCCAGTAAGGCTGTTCAACACAATCAATCCTAGTATTTTATACCCTTAACCAAACAAGACTGACGTCAGGGCAAGAAATCAAAGGGAACTTCAAAGAGGAATTATTATCAGCAAAGAAAGAAACAGGTTTTAGGGAGTAAGGTCTTCAGCTTAAAATAGTTCATTAACACATTCCAACAGCGCATCCTTCTGGCCTCTCCCCACTCGGTGAAGGCCAGTTCACTCCCTCTAGTATACGTGCAGACACAAGAAACTGAAAGGGCTTTTGTTATACAGAACGGCTTCTAGCTAAATATGAAATGGTTTCCACAACTCCCCCCTTTTAGCCTTTTAAAAGCTAATCCTGAAGCCATTTCATGCCTCCATTTCCATTAGAGTATTTATGTACATTTCTTGTTCCTTTCTTTGCTCATCATATTTTAACATTATTACTTCCAGATTCTCTTTGGTAAGGGTCTGTCCTGTGTTTTTCAGAATACAAGAAATCCAGTATTGTATTCACAGTTATGTTCCAGTTTCTTTTTGTTCACCTGTGGAGATATTGTTCACATTTTTCTAGCTTAAACAATTACTACACTATTATCTTTTCACTAGATTTTTTAGAGTTGCCCATTGATTGCCAATTGATTGGGCCCACTTATTATTTTTGTTTTGTTTAAATTCATGCTTTTACTTTACTTTAATTATTTTTTCATTAAAACAACAATATTGTCCACACAACAATGCTTGCAATACATATATCATAAGTAAAACACACAAGACAAATCTGGACAGAACACATGACACAAACTTATGTTATGACACAGAACGATGGTTTGTTTGTTTTTTTAGTCTATTTTCTTCAGTTAATTTTTAGCTGATATCAGCACTTTCGGATGATCTGAAAAACAAAGAAAACATTTCTATCCCCATTGGGGTGGCATATTATATCTTAGAATACTTTTCCTTTACAGATGTTCTTGCTAATTTTTGCTCAGCCTGCTGTTACCCAATGGTATGCTTTTATTTTGCACACCAGCTTCAGAGGGTTTGAGTAAATTACTTCATTGTTCAATTATTAAGTTAAAGGTGACATGCCTCAATTTCCCTCTTATACCACAGATCAGGTTTAATGTGTGAAGCTATAATGCTTTTCCTTAGCACAAAGTGTTGGCCAGTTACCGTTTCAGGAAGCAAAAGCTTTTCTTTTTCTGAAAAGAATCATGTACAAAGTTGCAGGCTTACTTACGGGGGACAGTGGGCCCCCCTTCTCCAGAACAGATGGGTAGTTTGAGGACACACACAACCTTGGATCTGAAAGCAAGCCAAAAGTGCTATCAACTCAGCCTTGAACAAAGACACAGTGCAGTTTAGAGCTTGGATTCTTAAAACAATTACTTGTTTCCTTGGAAGGCAAATTTAACCTTTAGGGTGCTGCTTTTACAAATTTACAATGTATAGATTTTATTCTTTTATGCAGTTAACCAATTAAGTTTCAGTAGAATTACTTATTTCCCTTTAATAGATTTAACAAAGTGTCTGTAGCCAAATGTTTAAACTTAATTGTTTCTTTGCCTTCAAAGAGGCTGCAAGAAAAAAGGGAGTCATTTTTAAAGCAGGTTTGAATTCCCGCCTAAGCTTGGGAGAAGTGGCGCAGTTGATACAGACGCGCCAACTGAGAAATTCTTTTCTCTCACTTCTTGAGCTTTTTTTTTTGTTGTACAGAGGCGCTGCAGCTGTTTGTAAGTTACATTTCTCACTGCAAGATGGATTTTTGCTTTTCTGAGCTTCGCTTTCATCCTTCAGGGCTTTAATTTTTCCTCTTTTCCAATTTGTTAAATGCTTACAGGTCCTTGGACCATTCTGCATGTACATGTAGAACACAGGGGTGCCTTTTGGTAGTGTGGGGGGGTATGCTTACACTAACCCCCACCTAAACTAACTCTACACACTCCAAAGAAGGGGTCTGCTGGGTTTAGAGTGTCAGACATATCCGCTGAGTCTCGAGATTCGGCTGACCCCCATCCCCTTTTGCGTTTAAAACTCCCTCATGGGAGAGCCCTGGTGCAGCTGGGATCAGCTCAAGTCTCAGACCTATGCAGCAGCATTCATACTTCACTCATTACATTTATACTCATTTTCCACACAATTTTTTTTCCCTTTTTTTAAAAAAAATTTTTCCTACAGTTTTCCCATGGGTTTCTATTAAGTGGCGCTGCCCTAAAACACCTGGCACTTAATATCAGACTTCATTAGGATCCTATACCAGGGCACTGGAATTCCTGTAGACTGACCTACCCCCATTTTCTGCGTGTGCTTTGAAAGACTCTGTCAGACACCAAACTGGAATTTTCCCGTTCACACTGATCCTCCCCCCTTTTTGGTTGCGAGGCACTGGACCCAGAGTCCACCTGGCTCGCAGGGGTTTCTGGCGGAATGGGGAAGTACTATGGCCTGGGGTTAGCCTTAAAGGTTATTATCACTTCCGTAAGTGACAGAGAGAGACAACAAAGCTTTCCCACAGTTCCATTTGCCGAAAGAGAGTAATGGCACCCACCAGCTTTTAGCGTCCGAACACAGAGGGTCCAGCGCATGGCTGCCTCACTGGAGACACTGGTGTGCTCTTTTGAAACTGGGACACATAAGACAGGCCTACAGACAGACAGACTCAGACAGACAAAATGTTAGCCACTCCACAAAAAGTGAAATCCATAGCTCTCCTTACCCCGACGGCCGGCCGGCACTCCAATCCCAAGCCCTCTCCAGGAGATTTCTCAACAGGTATCCCCCTTACCTTCGATTGTGCACACTGAGAGGTTTGGAAGTGGAGCGTCAGTACCTCCGTCTGGGCAAGTGGTGCGTTTGGATCTCGGTGGAACCTCCAAATTGTTGAAGCAAAAACTTCTTTCTGGTTTGGCGGCAAATAAACACTTTTATTAATCAATAAGACAAAGTGAGCCAAACGTGACCGCAGCAGAACCGGGCCCAGTAAGACTATTCAACACAATCAATCCTTGTATTTTATACCCTTAACCAAACAAGTCTGACGTCAGGGCAAGAAATCAAAGGGAACTTCAAAGAGGAATTATTATCAGCAAAGAAAGAAACAGGTTTTAGGGAGTAAGGTCTTCAGCTTAAAATAGTTCATTAACACCTTCCAACAGCGCATCCTTCTGGCCTCTCCCCACTCGGTGAAGGCCGATTCACTCCCTCTAGTATACATTCAGACACAAGAAACTGAAATGGCTTTTGTTATACAGAACGGCTCCTATATTAATGGTTTCCACAAGGCTAATGCTGGATCTCTAGTGGCTCCCATGCAGGAGCAGCTCTGCCTGCCCCTCCCCCACACCTCTTCATACTTTTTCCTGAGCCCCAGGCGCTAGGGCTGCAGCGATTTCATGTGGGTCCTTCCCACCCAGCCTGACTAGTTAGAGGATCCGCTGCAAAGCAGCTCGCTTCCCCCTTCCCTCTGCTCGATGAACCGCACGGCCCCGGGGCAGTAGAACACTGGTGTCCATCTGGTTACAGTAGAACACATGGCCCATCTGGTTACTTCCCCCTTCAGATATTGACGAATGTTCCCAAGACCCATCACCCTGCGGCCCCGACTCCATCTGCACCAACACACCGGGCAGTTACACCTGCAGCTGGTTCATGTGGGTCCTTCCCACCCAGCCTGACTAGTTAGAGGATCCGCTGCCAAGCAGCTCATTTCCTCCAGCCCTCTGCTCACTGAACCGCACGGCCCCTGTATCCACACAAATCCCCACTTTGCCATGGATCTGGGGAGAGACAACTAGATTGTCTCCCTGCTCATGTCAGGAAACTGAGCCTTCTAGAAGGGAAAGAATTTAGCATATGTCACGTGGGGAGTCTGTGGCAGAGCTGGGGACAAATCTCAGAAATCTTGGCTCCCCAGTCCCACTGCCAGCCCGTATTCCTTCTCCTTTACGCCCCCCCAGCCCGTGAGCCATGGTTCCTTCTCCCTCCCCGTCCCCCCTGCCAGCCTGGGCCCTTTCTCTTCCCCCAACCCCTCCTTTACCCCCTTCTGCAAGCAACAGTACACACCAGACCTGGGTCTAACACGGGTGCATGGGTGCCTGCCCGCCCCGTGTGGGGCACATAGAGGCGCAGGTATTGCCGTGTGCACGTGGCGTTTCAGGTACTGCAGCCTCCTGTAGTGGGGAAAGCAGCAGCTTGGCATGGAGGGGCCGTCCCGACCTCTCTCTGGTATGGTCCCGCCTGCACTGTTCCGCTCCCCAGCCCCGCTTGTAGAGCCCAGGGCTGCCCATCTTGGCTTGGTTTGAAATAGCAATTCCTGGTGTAGAGGGGACGCAGCGAGATCGAGCTGGAGTTGGGAGAGGGGAGAGGGAAGAGGGGGAGAGAGGGAGAAGGCCGGCTGGACCCAGAGGGATGGGATAACATCACTCTGTCATCCTGCAGGAAAACCCTAAGAGGGTCAGTGTGAGTTGTCTGGGGCAGTAGGACACTGTGGTCAACCTATATTCTCTCACCTAGATATTGACGAATGTTCCCGAGACCCATTGCCCTGTGGCCCCAACTCCATCTGCAGCAACACGCTGGGCAGTTACACCTGCAGGTGTCGGGCAGGCTACCTCCCACCCAGCAAGTCCAGCTCCCGCTTCAGCTGCACAGGCCAAATCTGGAAAACGGGATTGTCTCCCTGCGTATCTGGGGAAACTGAGTCTTCTGGAAGGCAAAGGACTTGGCCAAAGTCATATGGGGAGTTTGTTACTGGTTCAAGCTCGGATCAGAGTGGCTGATGCAAAAGGCCTCTGGGGCTGATGGAAAGATTCCCACTGGCTGCAATGGGGTTTGGGTCAGCGTGAGGAGCCCGGGGCAGTAGAACACTGGTGTCCTAGCGTCACACATGGCCAACCTGGATTCTTTCCCCTCCAGATATTGACGAATGTTCCCGAGACCCATCGCCCTGCGGCCCCGACGCCATCTGCTCCAATACACTGGGCAGTTACACCTGCAGGCACCTGCACCCACATTCCAGGGGGCCAGTGCTGCTCCTATAAGCCTGGCTTTGCATCCAGTTCTGGAGAGCAGCGCGTCACTTACCCAGCAGCGCAGTGCAACAATAAGAGCCGGTTCAGGCACAGGGCAGAGTGGCTGATGCAAAAGGACTCTGGGGCTGATGGAAAGATTCCCACTGGCTGCAACAGGGTTTGGGTCAGTGTGAGGAGCCCGGTGCAGTAGAACACTGGTGTCCTAGCGTCACTCATGGCCAACCTGGATTCTTCCCTCTCCAGATATTGACGAATGTTCCCGAGACCCATCTCCCTGCGGCCCCGACGCCATCTGCACCAACACCCCAGGCAGTTACACCTGCAGGTGCCGGGCAGGCTACCTCCCGCCCAGCCAGCCTGGCGCCCCCTTCAGCTGCACAGGTAAGTGTCTGACGTGGGATGCGGGGAAGCTTTGGGTGTAAGAGGCTAACGCGCGGGATCTCCACTGGCTCCCATGCAGGAGCAGCTCTGCCTGCCCCTCCCCCCATCAGTCCCTACTTTGTCCTGAGCCCCAGGTGCTACGGCTTCAGCAATTTCTAAAGGGTCCTTTCCCTCCCAGCCTGACTAGTTAGAGGATCCGCTGCCACGCAGCTCACTTCCTCCAGCCCTCTGCTCGCTAAACTGCATGGCCCCTGTGTCCACGCACACCCCCACCTTGCCATGGATCTGGGGAGAGACAACTAGATTGTCTCCCTGCTCATGTGGGGAAACTGAGCCTTCTAGAAGGGAAAGGATTTGGCAAAGGTCATGTGGGGAATCTGTGGCAGAGCTGGGGACAGAATTCGGAAGTCTTGGCTCCTCAGTCTCCCTGCCAGCCCGTATTCCTTCTCCCTTTTCCCGCTCACCCTCATCAAGCAACAGTACACACCAGACGTGGGTCAGTGTGAGTTGTCTGGGGCAGTAGGACACTGATGTCAACCTATATTCTCTCACCTAGATATTGACGAATGTTCCCGAAACCCATCGCCCTGCGGCTCCAACTCCATCTGCAGCAACACACCGGGCAGTTACACCTGCACGTGCCAGGCAGGCTACGTCCCTCCCAGCAAGTCCAGCTCCCGCTTCAGCTGCACAGGTAAGCGTCTTATATGGGGGATGTGTGTGGGGCTCCGGGTACGAAAGGCTAATGCCTGCTGACCAGGTCACCCCACAATGGAGAGCTAGTAAGAGCTGGTTCAGGCACAGGGCAGAGTGACCGATGCAAAAGGCCTCTGGGGCTGATGGAAAGATTCCCACTGGCTGCAATGGGGTTTGGGTCAGTGTGAGGAGCCCGGGGCAGTAGAACACTGGTGTCCTAGGGTCACACATGGCCAACCTGGATTCTTCCCTCTCCAGATATTGATGAATGTGCCCGAGACCCATCGCCCTGCGGCCCTGACTCCATCTGCAGCAACACACTGGGCAGTTACACCTGCATGTGCCAGGCAGGCTACCTCCCGCCCAGCCAGCCTGGCGCCCCCTTCAGCTGCACAGGTAAGTGTCTGCGTGGGGTGCAGGGAAGCTCTGGGTGTGAGAGGCTAATGCCGGATCTCCACTTGCTTTC